AAAGGATGTCAAGTTGATCTAAATTTAACACGTTATCTTTTAATCATCAACAACTTCGATAAAAAGTATTATCATTACAATAATATCATATTAAAGTACCCAAGGACCAGATTGCAAATACATTAATAATATGTCGAATCCAACGTTGAAAAAAGGAACGTGAACATCCATGTAAAAAAAAAAATCATGTAAATTAGGTTGAGATAACAAATGAGGGACCAAGATCTATAACGAGAGAAGGGAAAAATATTTTCTCATATATGAATAAGAAAATGATTCCAATGTATTTCAGTTGAAATCACATGCTAAAACAAAGTAGGATGAAATCACTCGTATGTAAAACTAACCTTGAAATGACAAAGACAAAATTATATACGATGAGTAAAATTAACAAGCATAACGCTAATAGATACATGACTTCTCTTATAAATTTGATAAAAATGAGAATTATCACGTTAAGCACTTGTTTTGTGAGGACAAAAATCAGATTTTTAGTAGATTTTGATAAAATTCGATGAAATGAGTGGTTAAAAAGTCGTGAATCCCATAAAATTTGTGATTATAATTGGTTGTTGACTTTAATTCAGATTAAAATCTGAATTTAATTTCTACCAAAATAATCTTATGAGAGAGGCTTGATCCCACTCTTCATTATTTTACAATTACACTATACTGATATAATTGAAGAAAATGAATTATATATATATGGTGTGGAAATTTTTAAAGCATAAAAGACATAAAAATATTGTTTATTCTTCTCAATCTAATATTATTTAAGGCATGTTTGAAATTGAAGGGCAATACACAACATATTCTATTTACCATACCACCCTTTACTTTCAACCTTTAATTAACACGTCTTGTCCTTGATGATATTTTTATCAAAATATTATATTTACGTGATTTGAAATGAGGGAAAAATATTTTATTGCGTTTTGTGTATATTGTTTTTAAGAAAAATGATTGACAAATAAGTCATTTTGCACTCTTCCAATGAAGATTTTTGACTGATGTCGTTATTAAAGATAACATTGCCGATTAATGAAACGTTAAAAATACGAATTCAATGAGAAAAAGTTGAGGATATAACTGTTACAATGAAAGAAAAATTGAGGACGTGGTGTGACAAACTGTCGTGTAATGTAATTACTATTTAGTCCCCGTTCGATGACCTTCAAATTAAAATTCTTTTTTTTTTAATTCTTATTTTCAACCACATATTCACACAATAAAATATTCGACACGTAAAAATTTTTTCATACTTTTTAATTATACATTCTCCAAAAACTCAATATTCAAAATATTATTTTTAGTAAATAATGGCACCAAGGGCTTATTTTTTCATTTAGGTACAACCTCGTTATAAGTTTTTGGAAAAGATTAAAAGAAAGCAAAGGGCTAAAAGGCAATTTGGAAAAATTGGATCACTTGGCACGTGTTTCGAGGTTCATGCGAACCGTATACCGGGCGGGTTAATCTGGCAATGGCAAGATTTTGTCAAGGCATCAACGACTGTTTTTCATTACTATTTTTTTTTTATCTATACAGGGCGCTAGTCTCTGAAGCGCAGCGAAGCAAGGACCATGGCTTCAATTTCTTCTAGCTTTGGAGAAACTGATCAGGTATATATACGCGGTTATGTAAAAAATTCAACTTTAAGCTCTTGGGTTTCATTCTAATTGTCTGTTTGGTTTCTGGGAAGGTAAAATATTACCTTTTTTTGTGGGATTTTTTTTTGGGTTTAGAGTTCCTATTTGTGTAGGATTATCTGGGTTTTTATGCACTATCTTCTATTATAATGAGCTAAAAACACAGTCTCTAGTTTAATGCTTGATGATAAATAAAGAATTAAACATAAACGGATTTGCAGGTTTTAGTGGAAGAGAAATCCTCTGCAAAAATCTTCACTCTGAACAGGCCTAAACAACTCAATGCTGCTTCTTTTCAAATGGTACGAATTCAGTTGGCAATTGTATTCACATGTACTGCTTTATGAACTTGAATGGAGACCTTAATAATTGTGTCATCTATGTGATGTTATTCCCATATCTGATCATCTTGATTAAAAGAATGATCTTGTGGAGTTATATGAAAATTATCATTTTTTCCCGTGCTATGAGCATCTGTGCCAGTGTGTATGGTGTAAGGCTGTCAGGATTATTGTGCTAATAATGGTTGACATTAGTTGACATGGAAAGCCTAAAATCCCCTCTTAAGACACAAACTTGGCAACTCCAGGAACATTTGTCAGCATTAAATCTCCATTAGCTGCATCACCTGCAGCACGTGGACACTACAAGATACCCCTTCAAACTAACTTGTCAAGGGGATGGAAATTCTGGATTGGAGCATAATATGTGCACTGTCATCACCGCTTTCAACGCAAAAATTGATGCCAAATACTTGTTGGGCCTTGCAATTTAGGCTTATTGTTCAAGGGCTGTGGAATTGCTGCTTGTTTAATACCGGTGATACACATGCAATTCTTCTCTGTCAGATTTTGATTCTATACTCTTTAATTCCGTGAATTATGTGATTGAGAGGCAATCTTCACCGTGCTTCTCATACCAAAGTCGCTTAACTGCTGTATGATTTGCTGTGAGGAATTGGCAATCTCTATCTCTTGGCTTATCATTCTAATGAATAGAAACTTTTTGGGCTGTTCTCCTGGTGTTACATATCACTCTTCCTGTACCCATTTTTCTTCTTCGCTTTCACAATCTTACTATACTTCAGTAGACAAGATACTACTTTTTGTCATTTTCCTTTAAATATGAAATTGTATTGGCTTGCATATCATGTCTGGTGATATTTTCTTCATCTATCACTCTCCAAAATGGACACCATCAAGTCCTTTTTGCCTCCGGAGTTGTTGGAGTCAGATAGGTCAGCTACAGTGATCAAGTTAATTTGCTGTTTGAGAGAGAAATTTGACAAAGCGACAATATATAATCTTTAGCTGGCAAATAGAGAGTCGGGCAATCTCTATATTACTTTTATTACTGTCTTCACCTCTCTTTCTTGAGTGAATGGCCATTGGGGTGGCTTTATACATGGAGTACTGGGAGACTATCATCCTGGATGTGAGGTGGATAGGACAATCATCCCTCTCCTAATTTCTTGCTTTTTATGCCATATTGGAAACATGAGCCTGGCACCCCTTGGAACTTGTACCTTGGGGCCACTTTAAGGAACTTGTTCCCAATCCCTCGAGACTGGTCACTGGGAAATTTTTCTCTGGCATAGGTCAAATCTTGTCTGATTGATGAACTATTGTTCGAACCCTTCTTTGGCATATTTTGCCGTCAAGCCGAGCATCTTTTGGGTTGAACTTACCTTATTTATCCTATGACCTAAGAGCCGAGCAACTTCCTCTTTTATTCTGCTTCGGTCGGCTTACCTTCTGTTTTGCTTAGGTGATTATTTTTCCAGCATCACCATGGTGCGCTGAAGCTTCCTTCTTGCTGTCCCATCTGCCAATTGGGATGAATGGAGTTCTTGTGTAGTGCATCTTTATCATGTTACATTAGTTCAGGGTGTAGGAAAGTTTATATAATATTACTCTGTTTTCTATGCAATTGTGCGACTCTAACAATACCCATAACTTAATAATATTTCAATTGTTTCCTTCAATTTATGTCTGCTTATTCTAGGTATCCCGGCTGCTGGATCTTTTTCTTGCTTGTGAGGACGACCCTTCTGTCAAATTGATAATTTTGAAGGTATAGTTCTATGAAATTCTACATTATTGGTCTATACGCATTGTGTTGAGAGTCTATTAACCAAGTGATGATAATCAATGCGCAAAGATTTGGAGCTTCAGTATGCCCGTTTTGGAAAAAGTCCCGGCATCTTAATAAGCATTAATCATTATCTATTCTTATGTACCTTCTTCATTACTGGTATAGTTAGTTTTATGTACCAGGAAATACTATTTTTCATATTTCTTTTAATAAGGTCTTTCCTGTTGCAGTTATCTGTGTTTGAAGCTAATTTTTGTAGGGAAAATTCTGGACTTCTTCCCTGCTCTGACCCTCTTTTGAATCTTGATCCTGTCAATCTTGCTATGCCCTTTAGTTTATTTGATTTTCTGTCATGATGGTTCGAATTGAAGGTTGATTCTATATGTTAGTGATGATGCCATTTGATTTCTTTCTTTGCCATCTGTAAATTTTGAACTTATAGTAATTGTATGCCATTTCTGTGGAACATAAAATATGTTTGAAATTCTTCATAGCAGGAAAGGAATTTTGACTAAAAATAGGAGAGGATCAAGCTTGATAAGTTAACCTGCTCTAATTATTTGAGCTTGAGTCTTGACATGATAGTCTAGAACTTCATGCAATGCGATAAATCTGAATTTTGAGAACTTGAAATACTTTACCTAGTAAATGGTTTGCATTACTTAGGGACATCTACTAGAACTCAAGCATATAGTACTAATACTAATTAGTTTGAAATATTTTTAATGCAATCAGTTCGTTCCCCACCCTCCCCCTCACTTGCTACATAATTTCCACACTGTCTCTTGCTTAAAATGAACCTTATGTTTGAGATTTCTCTCCAGAAAATATGTAGAAAAAATTCTTTAGCTTTTTTGGCGGCTTTTATATCAATAGTGCAAACTGAAAGATTACAAACTTAGGAGGGGGACTGACCTCCATCTAACGAAGAAAGAGACGAGGAGTACAATTTAGAAAGAATATAGGACTAAAAGCTAATACTCATGTGGCCTTGTCCCGATTTAGTCTTCACTCATCTCTGGTTCAAAATCACTACTCGATTAGATGTCCATGAGTTATTTTACCATGCTCCATGAGGAATGTCCATATCTGCTTCATCTCCACATGGACTGAAAGTCTCATGTGCATAGTCTCTAACCCTACTACTGAAATCAAAAGCTGAAGATGCTATCCCTAGTGCCTCTGAAGTGGGATGGCTCAATATAGATGGTGGATAAAAAGGCTGTGCACGAATGATAAACTCATAAGCCGATATCTGTGCTAGTGTTGCCTCGGTGCTTGAGCGACTCGACTCTAAGTCCACCTCTAAATTAACTTTAAAATCATGAAGACCTATGCTGTCTATACTCTTAATTCTGTCTTAAATTAACTGAGGAAAATGTATCTGCCTTGGCTGATGATAATTTCGAACCCCCTAAAAAACTGGGTGCATAAAACAGTTTTATCTGGTGTGCATAAAACAGATTTATCTGGCGTGCTTAAAACAGATTTATCTGGTGTAGAATAAACTCAGATAAAATAAAGATATTTAAGCTTGTATGAAGTATTTAGCAACCCGTATTCTATCTGATATTGTAAGTAATATTCAATCTCAGTTTTCTACATCTTCAAAATACTGCACAGCTTTTACGTGTCAACATCTGGTGACAGGGAAAAGGAAGAGCTTTCTGTGCTGGAGGTGATGTAACAGCCGTTGTTCGTGATATTACTCAAGGTAGACTAAGCTTTTTACTCTGTTATATACTGAACATTGTGAACTGATCTCTATTCCTATCAAATGGGATCTAAGGTTGCATTTGCAATGATGCTTCATGGCTAATTAGTTGACTCTCTATAGCTTTGTAGTGAATTATTTAGTTTTGAATTTGTAGATCAAGATCTGATTAATTTCTGCATCAGCATAGGTTGAATCTCTCGAAACCTAGTATCCACTTAGAGATGACTTTATTCGGATCATAGACTAGTCACTTGAATAAAAAAAGAACATCGCGGCCTTGGGTTTGAATTGACATTGAAGTTTGATGATTAGCTAATAGATTCAGTAAGTTCACTTTAACCGAATATGGATACCAATGTTATGAAATCGGTATTTGAGATTTTCAATAATGGAAAAGAAAATTTCTACAGCCTCTTGTAAAATGGGGTTCAAACCCATGATTACTTACTGAAAATTAAATAAAGGAATTTCTCCTATATCTACTCAATGACAATAGCTGGTACACCTGAGGTGCGTCCTTGATAGTCCTCACGTGCTTGGAAATAGTATGGTGAGAGCAAATGATCAAGCAACAATGAGTCTACATCTGTTGATGCAATTCATTGACTACTTAAGCAAGCAAGTTACCTTGGCTAACATGTTAACTGATGATTATTTTAACTTTACTCACATTAGTGCTAAATTTTTAAACAGGCAAGTCCTCAATTCAGAATCCAATTATCAAATGGACTAGTAACTACTGTCCCATGAACTTTTCCTATTCCCTTAAATTTAATATTAGCTGTCTTTTGTTCTTAATCAATCCTTTCAATGGCTTTGATATAGCCGTCAGAACTCTGGCATGCACTTGAAGCAACATAAGGTCCATACATAATATGTTATGATGCCATATTTTCTGTGAGCATCAGGTAATTGGAGACTTGGAGCTAATTTTTTTGGAAGGGAGTTCATCTTGAACTATGTGATGGCTACATACAGCAAACCCCAGGTGCTAATGTAGAAAATCATTCACTAATTTGTTGTTTGTTTTCCTGTTAAATGCGTTGTGAGGTTAACTAGCTGCACCATTTTCATTTAGATGTGTTCAGTAACTTTACTGTTCATTGCAAATATGTATGAAGGTTTCAATTCTCAATGGAATTGTCATGGGAGGAGGAGCTGGTGTTTCAATACACGGTAGATTCCGTGTCGCTACAGAGAATTCGGTAATTATTTTTCCTATTTCAAGATGCAGTGTTAACTCTATATCTGCAGTTGATACTCCTTGATATTTTTATTTTTATTTTCAGAATGAATTTATGATTGTAGATTTTGATACTAAGATTTTAACTTAAAAGTTCGACTCTTGACACATTACTTATTATATGACGAACACCTTTGAAGCCTCAAGCATTTCCCTTGACTTTTATTTTTAGGGGATAACTAGTTAGGTGTGTGTGCGAATGAAGCAAGGTGATGTGGTATTTTGTATGATAAGACGGGATAAGGATGATTGAAACATGAGAGTTGTTCTTGTTTCTATTAGTTTTCACGAATGATTATGCTGAGCAATAACTTATTTTAGGTTTTCATGCAGCTGACTCCAAATTTATTGGGAATAAACCTTGTTTGTTGTTTTTGGGAATACCAATGTTGTCAAGCTATGTGGGCTTTTTTTTAGAAACTTGGTGCCTTAAAGGAACAATCTGTCCATTTCTTTAGGAGGAATGATTCTAACTTGGTTTACTGTGTCTCCAAAAAAATCTGTGTTAGTCTTGATTCAGAAGGGTGTTCAAATATTTGTTAAGCAAAATAATGCATCTACATTATTTCTGGTGATTGTTTTCCCCCAAATTTAGCAGCAGGGAGATGTTAAGCTGTCTGGATGAAAAATTGTACTGAAATTGTGTACTCCTGAAATTTGGACTAACTTTTGGAGGAATATAGTAATTACGTTCACCTTTCTGCTTCCTTATAACCTTCTCTGTGATTAATTGGTATGGTTACATATCATTTATGATGGGCCTTGAGCCAAAAGTTTGGGTTGTGTTGACTTTTTGGGCTTTACACCATATGCGGTTGTCTAATTACATACCTTGATGTGATTATACTCGATAACATTGTGAAATTTTAGTCTTCTGACAATTATTTGTATAACTTAGCTGAGTGATATGTTGTTACTCAATCATTCTGTGTTCTAAAAAATGCACTCATTTTGACCTTCTTGCAGCTTTTTGCTATGCCTGAAACAGCTTTGGGACTTTTCCCAGATGTTGGTGCCTCTTACTTTTTGTCAAGACTCCCTGGATTCTTTGGTAATTCTTGATTATGCTCTTGTGTTTCTGCATATTTCTATATTAAGATGCATTGCATATTCTTCTTAGATATTAACATTGTTCTGATATCATGGCTGATTGCTGTATCATCTATCTCTTGTTAGATTGGATGCTGTGGCTAATCATGGATTTATGATATTATTGTAACAGCAACAATGCACATTAGAAGCTGAGCTAACTTCCAGTCGATATTGAAATGTTAATGAACAAATTTATACATAATAAAGACCTCGAATGCAATAAATGTGGGAATACTAAGAAGAGCATTTTGTTTTGTTTGTCTTTGATAGGCTGCAGAGTCTATGTTTTGGTTCTTTTATATAAATTTTCGTACATCTTCATTGTTTCCTACTACCCTTTAGATCACAAGAGAAAACCTTAGATTAAGTTTGTGTGTGTGTGCATGCACAAATATGTTTCTTCATATTGTTTTCTGGGTCAATTAATTCTGGCACTATTTAATTTTTTTTTGTTCGATAAACTTATATGACACGGTCTTACACAACCATAAGTTTTTTTTTTTTGAAAGATTGCCGGATTATCTATTTTAGCAGCTACTTGCAGTTCTGACATTTTACGAGATCACAAACTTTTACCGATTTTTTAAAATGATTGAAAATGAGATCAAAACATTTTATTTCATTGCAATTTTATGTTGGTTGAAACTGCTTTATTGGTTTATCATACTACACAACTTCTTCTCTTTTTAGTTATTGCTTACAATTATTGGCGATTCGGTGTTTCTTTGACGATCTCTGAGAATTCTTTACCTTACTTTGAAATAAAAATTGTATTGGTTGCATAAGGTGGATCATGACAAAAGAGGTTCGAATTTTGTATTTGAACGTGGAGGGATGATATTTGAGCATATGACACTGGCTGCAACTTGCTGCTATTTGCAGATATTATTTCCTTCTGAAAGTTGTGACATTTCTTCCATTGAAACCACAAAGTTCTCAGCACAAAGATAAACTCTACCTTACATGAGATGTACGTAGAAGAACGTCCTCCTTGAGATATGTAGGAAAACTCTGATTAATCCACAGTATAGTTGATTATGAATCCATAAGAAGTTTCTCGATAACGTTTAGCAGACGATGAGCTTTTCTTTAAAAATTTGCAGTTGCTGAAGAAACTCAGTCGAACTTTAGGTATTCCAAGCGATAAAGTTGTCCACAATATAAGTTGCATTAGTGTCTCATCACTGAGAGGAATCATTCTGTGGATAGTTGAATTACGTGTCAACTTATTTAAATGTTAAATATTTTGGTTTAATTGCCGTGTGAGATTTGCCTTGATGAAATTCATTTGCCTCTTTGAACATTTTTCCTTTCACACTTGTGATCCTGATGAGCTCATTTGACGATATCACTGTTGTTGAAGTGATACTTTATTATTGCTTCTGTTGTTGATATCTTTAGAAGAAAACACTAACCACTTGTCGCAGTAGTATAGATATTTTTAGACATGAATTTGTCTCAAATAGGATCAATCATTTAATTTATTTCACTTCCACTAGGAGAATACGTCGGTCTGATAGGTGCCAAATTGGATGGTGCCGAGATGCTTGCATGTGGTCTAGCAACTCACTTTGTTCCGTCAGAGGTATGATCCTGAGCTCCAAGAATTAATATCCTGCAACTATTATTGTCGTGAGTTTACAATATAAAAATCGCAACTTCTCTTGATTTGGGTCATAAGTATTCTTATAGGTTTTCAAAGTCTAACGTGTTTCATTGTACAAAATGGAGTTTTCTTTTCTAAGAGAAGTCGCTACAGACTTACGATTCTTATTGTCATTTGTCAGAATCTTAAGTCTGGAACTTAAGATTTTTCTAAGAGAAGTCGCTACAGACTTAAGATCTAATAGTGTTTGAGGTGGATTTCCGAGCATGATTCTGCATAATAGAAGTTTTGATTGCGTTTCTTGCATCAACTATCGCTTTTGGGAAAACTGGTTGCATCTCCCAGTGTCGTATCTCTTTGGGATTGAGATGAATTACTTTCTACACCCACAAGTAGTATGTGATAGTCCTATCAACATCCCTTCTAAACACTAATGTATTTATTTGTCATCCTACACACATTCTTTTGGTACATCAAACTTGCGACGCAGGCCAATTGCAATGCCAGCTGTCTACATACCATAGCATTCCAGTCTCCTTAAGGAGGTATATTATAAACTTATCCTGTGAGATTACTATTCCGTCTTTTGAGTGAGCAATCTCAATCCCTGGGAAGCATTCCAATCTTCTAAGGTGCCTAATTTTTTATTTGAACTCCTTTAGCAAGTTGCTCCATTAGTTTTCCTATTTCCCCATTGTCATCTCTTGTTACAACAATATCGTTTACATAAAGAATCAAACTGAACTATGAACCAATGATTTTTTATTTTTTTTTATAATAGAATCAATGGCTTTTTTTTTTTTTT